AATAAAAGTTATTTGTGTCATAATTGTAATGTATAGTTAATTATTCTTTTGAATTTAATTTTGTTTAAGTTTTGACAGGTATGTTTAATAATGTATATTTCTTTTTCAGGTAACTGTGGCTGCATATAATGATTGTGTGATGTAACTGTAACATTACAGAATGTAATTCAGACAATTTTTGTGTATGTTTGAGAAAATATTTTTTACAACAAAAAAAAAAAAAAAAACTTGTGTAAAGATTCTCTATTTTCAACAGGACTGGAAGTTGTAGGCTAACTTGTATTTGAAATTTCAAAATTCTCTTTCTTTTTTCCATGAAAACCAATGGAAATTTACAATTTCACTTGAAGACCTACTTTATATATATTAAATGTCTTAGTCAAGTCAAACACTTCCAGCAGGTTAAGAATGGAGAATTTAAAAAAAAAAAAGAAAGAAAGAAAAAAAAATTTTTAATTTAAGTTAGATATATATTTTTTCCAACTTTTTGTTTTTTTAGCTGAGTTTGTAACTAAGCATAACAAATTGTTTTAAGAATATTTTTCACGAAGCATAGTTGAAGAACATCTTGGTAAAGGTGGATTGATTGATTTTTTGTTTTTAAAACCACCTTCAGGAATAAAAGCCCTGTTCATTAATAATTTTCTATGTATTGTGTGCGATTTTGTCCCATGTACATTTACTCCATATCCTTTCATTTTCTATTCAGCAATGAGAGCAATATTGAGTTATTCAAATTATAAAGATTTTTTTCATTATTTTTACTTGCATTGAATTATTGTATTGTGATTGATGAAAAAAAAAACTGTGAAATTATTGTTATTTGAGGGTCCCAAAGATATGATTTAGGGTTTCACAAAGTACCCATAAGACTTACATCAGTTTACATATATTTTTAAGTTATGTACAGGTAAGTCTTAGTAGTGCTTTGTGAAACGAATTTTGCCAGTTAGAAACCAATAAAGTAGGACTTTGATGGCCAAACACTGAAGGGAATAAAAATAAATCCCTTATTAAAAAATATAAGTAATGAGTTTTTGATGCAATATAAACTTAATGACTGCAAATAAAAATGTTTGATTAGTTGGGTTTTTGACCACTTTCTGTATATTTATACAAATTAATGGCTGTCAGTTTTATTTATTGGTGTTGTTTATATATTATAAATGCATTATTCAGCATCTGAGGCTACTCAATTGAAAATAATTAGTTTTTACAGTTTGTTATATTTTTTTATTTTTATGTGATTGTTCTTTTATGTTTTTTCTTGTTCATCATTATTTATATTTTGAGGTGTTTTTTTTATTTTTTGAAGATTGTACTCAACTTCTTAAGATTTATTCACCCATCCAAGATTAATACGGAACCTGGGAAAAAAATTCTTTTATTTTAATGGAAAAATGGCTGTTTAATGTCCAGTGGCAAATTAAATGTATTTTAGGATGAGAACATGATAATGCATTATGAGTAGAAGACCCTGCTTTGTATTACACTGGCATATGCTGAGATAGATTAATGTGCTAGTTCACAAGGTAACAGTCCACAGCAAGACATGTAACCCTACCAAACACATTATTCTGACTAGGAGCCAACCAGTCTTTGCTCTTACTGCTTAATGTTTCATACATAGCAGTGGACCATCAAATACTGATTTTCAATTCTTTGGTTGACCCAGCTGAGGATCAAGTCCCATGACCTTCTGCACTAAATGCGAGCATGAAATGAGCTAGAGCTGTTAAAGAAGATTTGTCTGTCTGTTTGTCTATCAGCATCTCTCATCCACAGCTTTTATACTATTGGAAGATTTTCATTGAAACTTTCAGATTATCTTCTGTATCTAATGGCAGTGTGTTTTATTTTTTTATACTGAAATTTTGGAGTTCCCAACTAAAATGAATGGACCTTCTAAATATTTTGATTAACTCTGAAAGAAGCTTCTAATGCCACAATTGAATCATGTGAAGGATAGGTTGGTTTGAATATCTTTTATTGTGTTTTAATTTGTTTTTGAATTTATTACAGAGGATGACCTTGAGGTCATTCCGATGTATTGCTATCGCCTAAATTTCCATTATGCAAATTAGTTTTGGGATTTCAACCGATCTATAAAAATTATAGATCCACGGTCATTACAAGGGAAAAAAGTGCATTTTTATACCTGCGATTCCGTTCTCCGTTCGTACGATGTTTCATAAAAAAATGGAATCATTTCAGTTGTTGATTTAGTACTGAAAATTTGACTGAATTATCTCCTTATTAAATACGGTTTTATATGTTTAATAGGTGTTTAAGAAAGAGGTCAGGTGCTCATGTTCATTCATAAAATTATCGTTCATTCATGAATTTATCGTAAAATCAAAATCAATACACAGGTCACACAGGTTGCATATACGTAGTGTCAAAAGATTACCTGTATAGTATCTAAAAATAGACAAACTTAACTGACTCCCCTTACTGTAGTGTGTGATAACATTTTGTGGGGGAATTCGATGTTTGCTATACCACTGTTCATTTCAACGCACTTTATGACGATACCACTTTATCAATATGAATGAAATTTTTTGCAGTGTTTTAAGAAATAATTTTACTTTAAAATCGCGTATCATTTGTGAACTATTAAATGTTTTACAAGGACGAATTTTCTGTATAAAGTCAATAATTGTGTGAACTTTTGAAGCCCAAACTTTTTATAGCCTTAAATACGCTAATGAAAGATCCGAAAACTATACCCATACAGACTGACATGTTTTTTTAATTGTAGCAAAACTTTTGGTTGACAAATTTTAATTCGTTATTGCATAAATATTAACTTGAAATATCTGTCATTTTCTCCCTACCCAGTTTACCTCTATTACTCATTATGATGTGGACTTGACATTGTTATTGAATCTTATGCAATTTGATTGGATTAAGTTATTATTAGATTACCTCAAACTGTTCATGCTTTTTCGTACGAGTATATTGATTAAATCAGAGCGTGCATGAATATGTACAGAAAATTAAATGACCTGCAAACTGGACACTGGACCAGTCCATATTACGTTTTATCAATGAATAGATTTTTTTTTTATTTCCTAAATTACAGGGCCCATAAAGGGCATAAAATTAGATACAATTGATTTACATAATTGGTAACAACAACAATAATAGCGGCATATAAATAGATATTTAGTACATAAGCATTGGTCAGAATCAGATGAACGAAACTTAAGGTATGAAAGGTAACAATTGCCACTTTTTATCTTTTCACATAATTTTCCACATACACATTAGATAAATTATTTTTGATAGCCTATTGCGGAGAAAAAAGAGAAAGTTTACTGTATTAACGTTCTATTCCATTAAATACGCCATTTTTCGAAGATAAATGCAGAAAAACATTTATGAACGGCTACGCCAGGTAAAATTGTTGTTTATCCTAAAAAAAAAATACAATTTTCAGTTTCATTAGAATATTATAATAATAATAAATCCCAAATTTATGTAGTCATTAGATAAAGTCCTTATATGTCCGATCTGCCTATTTTTGGACATCAAAAGACAATACGATCGTTTAAAGGTCAATTTCGTCTACCTCACACAATCTTGTTAGGCACTATAATGAAATGGACCTGAAATTTATTTCACATGTGTCCTGAAAATTGATAAATATCAAAGCAACATAGAGCTGTTTGTTCTAGTTCGTATAATGACAATTTAATGTCATGTTTGTTTGTGATGACCCCCCTTTTCGGGATTGCATCAGAATTATAGTTATCTCGTATCGCATGAGGATGACACATGTCAACTGAGCAATTATGTTTGGGACTTAGTTTTAAGAAATGATGTCAAAGTAACATTATGAAAATATTTTTAGTAAGCTGAAATATATATTTATTTTTTACATGTTTATGTCATGTAAGATATTTTATTTCTGTCCCGTTTTTCAACATTTGCGTCTGGAAAGTTGAAATGTTTTAACTGAATGGTTAATTTAAATTAATTATGAAAATGGTTAAAATTAAATCAATAAAGGAAATTATTGCCCAGTTACAAACACTACCAGGGGATAATCCATTATGATTTTTGTCGAGCCTGCGACTTTTGTCGCAGAAAGCTCGACATAGGGATAGCGATCCGGCTACGGCGGCGGCGGCGGCGGCGTTAGCTAACTTCTTAAAAGCTTTATATTTTAGAAGGTGGAAGGTCTGGATGCTTCATACTTTGTATATGGATGCCTCATGTTACGAAGTTTCCGTCAGTCACATGTCCAATGTCCTTGACCTCATTTTCATGGTTCAGTGACTACTTGAAAAAAAAAGTTAAGATTTTTTGTAATGTTAGATTCTCTCTTATTATAAGTAATAAGATAACTATATTTGGTATGTGCGTACCTTGCAAGGTCCCCATGCCCGTCAGACAGTTTTCACTTGACCTCGACCTCATTTCATGGATCAGTGAACAAGGTTAAGTTTTCGTGGTCAAGTCCATATCTCAGATACTATAAGCAATAGGTCTAGTATATTCGGTGTATGGAAGGACTGTAAGGTGTACATGTCCAACTGGCAGGTGTCATCTGACCTTGATCTCATTTTCATGGTTCAGTGGTTATAGTTAAGTTTTGGTGTTTTGGTCTGTTTTTCTTATACTGTATGCCATAGGTCTACTATATTTGGTGTATGGAATGATTGTAAGGTGTACATGTCTAGCGGGCAGGTGTCATTTGACCTTGACCTCATTTTCATGGTTCAGTGGTCAAAGTTAAGTTTTTGAGTTTTGGTCTTTTTTTCTAATACTATGTGCAATAGTTCAACTATATTTGGTATGTACGTACCTTGCAAGGTCCTCATGCCTGTCACCCAGTTTTCACTTGACCTCGACCTCATTTCATGGATCAATGAACAAGGTTAAGTTTTGGTGGTCAAGTCCATATCTCAGATACTATATGCAATAGTTCAACTATATTTGGTGTATGGAAATATTTTATGATCTATTTGGCAGTCACACAGGTTTTATTTAACCTTGACCTCATTTTCAAGGTTCATTGCTCAGTGTTAAGTTTTTGTGTTTTGGTCTGTTTTTCTTAAACTATAAGCAATAGGTCAACTATATTTGTTGTATGGAAGAATTGTTAGCTGTACATGCCTGCCTAGCATGGTTCATCTGACCTTGACCTCATTTTCATGGTTCATTGGTCAATGTTAAGGTTACTTGGTTAATGTTAAGTTTATGTGACAGTTGTAATAAAGCTTTATATTTAGGACTATCAACATAATATCAATGATTAGTAAAGAAGGCGAGACATTTCAGCGTGTGCACTCTTGTTTTTTCAGTTATATGTTTCAGCACATGTATAATTAACCCCAACTTTAGCCTGGTAAACTTGTTGTCTCCTTGTAAAATATAAAACATATTTAAAATGATTTCCTGCTAAAGTCTTATATTGATATAAAGTTAAAACCGTCTTGCTTCTCACTAGTCAACACTCCTGTCCTGTCAGGTTTAATTCTTATATATATGGATGAAAAATAAAAGTCCACAAAACATTAACATGGCAGCAATTGCTTTTACAGCCTTTAAGACTTTGATTTTTTTTTACAGAAGAGTGTCCACCATGCACTTGCATTACACTATAATAATAGTAGAATAGTATGATATACAAATAGATGAAAATTATATATACATGCAACCGTAATATTAATATAATATATAACAACAAACCAGTGTATACTCTGGAACTATTATTATATTAGTATAATAGTCTAAGGTATACTGATTTGTATCACTACAATATAATAGTTATTACGGTGAGGTTGAATTTCCTGTCATTTATTCATCATCCAAGCACGAACTTGTATAAGAAAAAAAATCTCTGTAAATTAACCTCAGTTTCAGGTATAGAGATGTGATCTGTTTCTGTGACATGTGCTTTTGACCATCCACAAGAACCTGCGGTCATCCGATGTTCAGTACTTCAGTACTTTGATTTTTAATAGTTAGATCTCATTATGACAAAATTTTCATAACATTAACAATCAAGATGCTAATATATTACCAATATATTTTAATTAAACTTTATAAGGCTTTGCAACAACAAGATTTGTGTTTTATCTGGTTTTATATTATTTTAGTGGTTTTATATGATTTTATTTGGTTTTTTTTGTCAAATCTTGTTATACCAAGCCTTACTATAACTTATGGTGAAAATTTACAGATTTTATACATGCATTACAAAATATTTATTTACGTAATGAGATCTGACATATTTATGATTTTAACTCTTTCTTAAAGGATGAAAAAGAAAATGAATGAATTTAACTATTGATGCAGTTCTTGTAGAGTGACCAAATTGCAAGATTTATGGATGCAAGTTCAGAATCTGCTCTAACTAAATCTATGTTCATATCAGCTGAACAGTCATATATCCTTCTGGTTAATAAGATGAAATAAATGGAAATATCCATTTTTCAATTGGAGAACCTTTAGAAGTGAAAAAAATGGTACACAATGTCGACAGATACTGAAGATTATTTGAAAGTTTATTAAAATTCCATTTAATCCTTTAATTGTTGGTTAAATATGTAGATAGAAGAGCAAACAGATGTTACCCTTGCTAACTATAGCACATTTCATAATGGACAAATTAGACTATGAAATAATTACCTGTTACTCGTTATCCCCTTCCTTTGAAAAAAGTACTGGTTCCATATCTGAAAATAAAAAAAAATATATACTACTTCGAAATAAAAAATTAACTTTGCCTAGAAATTGGGTGGAAGTATAAAGAAGCTATATAATATAAGAGCTCTGGTTAAAAATGTGGATGAAATGCAGTTAACTATTTCCTTGGTGATCTGATAATTTTTGCACAGATCAAGATATTTAGTGTTTTTTAATTACCTAATAAATAAGTTGAGTACACCTCAAAGAAGAACTTGATTTGTTTATTTTTAAACCTTTTTTTATTGTAGTATTTACCATAGTTTTAGTTTGTAAATGACTTGTTATATTTTTAAATGCCTTTTTGTAAAGTATGAAACAAACTGAGGATTCATATATTTTATGGAATTCTATAAATTTATTATAATTTTGGTATTGGGTAAAGGAAAGCCTCAAGTTTAATATTGAGCAAAAAAAAATTTTTGATATGACCTAAAGATAACAAAATTTAGTACATGTATCTCAAAACCAACATGATTTTCTATAACAAGTCTGAAAACTGGTATCCAGTAAATAAGAAAGAATCCTCAGCAATATCAATTATTTTGTGTAAATGTAATAATTTCGTAATGAGACCTAACCCATGATGCAGATCCTTTTCCTCCTTTTAATTGTAAAATTAATGTCCAACAATGGCCAAAAGCTTGTTACTAGTTATTTCGATTTCTTTGATATTTATACACACATGATGTAACAGATGGTGTCTTGTTTCATTTGGATACTTTTTATTATGATGCATGATAATAATATAAATAAATTGGTAAATAAAATTTATTTGAAAAAAAATTATCATATTTTATTTGAGTCCAAATAAAGGGGGAAGAGGTTTCTGTGGTCAAGGGTATGACACAGCTGATTTATATTTCCATATCTTCGTGTCACATGTAAATGATAGGGATATTAATGGTATGCAGTTGCCCTATTGTCTGGTTGTCATCTGGCATTGTCTTGACTCCATTTTTAGCTCACCGGGGCCCAAAGGGCCCAATGTGAGCTTATACCATCACTTGGCGTCCGTCGTCGTAAACTATTTCAAAAATCTTCTCCTCTGAAACTACTGGGCCAAGTACCTTCAAACTTTAACTAAATGTTCCTTAGGGTTTCTAGTTTATAAATTGTATCCGAAGTGTTGATCCATTGACAAACATGGCCGCCATGGCTAAAAATAGAACATAGGGGTCAAATGCAGTTTTTGGCTTATATCTCAAAAACTAAATCTTTTAGAGCAAATGTGACAGGGGTAAAATTGTTTAATTGGTCAAGATCTATTGGCCATGAAATTTTCAGACGAATCAAACAACCCATTGTTGGGTTGCTGCCACCGAATTGGTAGTTTTAACAAAGTTTTGCAGTTTTTTGTTATTATTTTGAATATTATTATAGATATATATATAAACTGTAAGCAGCAATAATGTTCAGCAAAGTAAGATCTACAAAAAAGTTAATATGACCAAAATTGTCAATTAACCCCTTAAGGAGTTATAGCCCTTTAAAGACAATTTTACACAATTTGTTCATCAAGTTTGTTAACATTTAAAAATCTTCTCCTCTGAAATACAGGTGAGCGATTCAGGCTCTTGAGAGCCTCTTGTTAAGTTGAAATTACCACTTAAAAAGGTTTTTTATCCCATTAATTTGACAGTTTTTGTTGAGCCTGCGACTTCTGTCGCAGAAAGCTTGACATAGGGATAGTGATCCGGCTGCGGCGTTAACTAACTACTTAAAAGCTTTATATTTTAGAAGGTGGAAGACCTGGATGCTTCATACTTTGAATATAAATGCTTTATGTTATGAAGTTTCCGTCTGTCATATGTCCATTGTCCTTGACCTCATTTTCATGGTTCAGTGACTACTTGAAAAAAAAGTTATTTGTAATGTTAATTTCTCTCTTATGAGTAATAGGATTACTATTATATTTAGTATGTGCGTACCTTGCAATGTCCTCATGCCTGTAAGATAGCTTTCATCTGACCTCGACCTCTTTTCATGGATGAGTGAACAAGGTTAAGTTTTCATGGTCGTCCATATATCAGATACGATAAGCAATAGGTCTACTATACTATATTTGGTGTATGGAAGGATTGTAAGGTGTACATGTCCAACTGGCAGGTGTCATCTGACCTCGACCTCATTTTCATGGTTCAGCGGTTAAAGTTAAGTTTTTGTGTTTTGGTCTTTTTTTCTAATACTATATGCAATAGGTCAACTATATTTGGTGTATGGAAATATTTTACAATGCATATGTCAGTCTGGCAGGTTTTATTTGACCTTGACCTCATTTTCACAGTTAAATGCTCAGTTTTAAGTTTTTGTGTTTTGGTCTGTTTTCTTAAACTAAGCAATAGGTCAGCTATATTGATGTATGGAATGATTGTAAGGTGTATGTGTTTGTCTAGCAGGTATCATATGACCTAGACCTCATTTTCATGGTTTATTGGTCAATGTTAAATTTTCATGGTTAAGTTTGTTTCTTTGATACTTTAAGCAATAGGTTAAATATATTTAAGGCATAGATTGATTGTAAGGTGTACATGTCTGTCTGGCATGGTTCATCTGACCTTGACCTCATTTTCATGGTTCATTGTTCAATGTTAAATTTTCCTGGTTAAGTTTGTTTCTTAGAAACTCTAAGTAATAGGTCAACTATATTTTGTGTATAGAATGATTGTAAGGTGTACATGTATTTCCGGTTTGGTTTATCTGACCTTGACCTCATTTTCTTGGATCATGTTAAGTTTAAGTGATAATTGTAGTAAAGCTTTATATTTAGGACTATCAACATAAAATCAATGATCAGTAAAGTAGGCGAGACATTTCAGCGTATGCACTATTGTTGTCTGTTATAAGGACAATTCTCTTATGGTTGTGCCTGTTATCTTATTCTCACATGAAGAGATATGGATCGTTTCACATTGCACGGAGTGTGATATGAAAAAGTCTCCCAAAAAATCTGTTAACTTGATTGGCTTATCCAGCACCATCTGGTCAACATTTAGTTTTTGTCTCGCCAGCAAAGAAAGTGGCAGTATGCGAGACATAGGGATTAATATATGCCAAAGTTGACAAAAAATTGAATCATACAAAAAAATATAATGTTTGATTATTTTCTTCATTTTGAAGGATCTTACCATTTACTTAGTCTAAGATTAAATTTTTTAGACATTGACTTCTTTAAAAAAAAGATAGCATCTGTGTGGGGGAGATGAGGGCAAGGAGGTAGAAAAAAATCTCAGATCTCAGAAGTAAAGCAACTACATTTCAAGGGCAATAACTCATTTGCAAATTAAAATCAATACTTTTTTGTGTTTTGATGAGTACTAGGTGCCAGTGTATCATTTTGTGAGCATCTGGTATGACATTGGTGTTAATGAGTTATTCAAAACTTTACATTTTTATAGTAGATAACATTTTGTTTAAGTTAACGACAACAGACAACACT